GTATCTGTATGAACCTAGGTTTTTATTTGTGTTTCAGAAGCCATCATATTTTAAAAAACACATCCTCACTTCATGGAACGTTGTTCGGTGTCTTGGAATCTCTCTGGGGAAGGGGACCTGCAGGATCTGCCGACGCATTCAGCATGGCCAGTCCTGTCCTGGCTGCTCTGGGGCTGCCGTCAGCCACTGGGGCTTGCTCAGGTGCTCTCTGCTTAGTGCTGACCTGGGTGGAGAGGGCAGTGAAGGCAGTGAAGCGCTTGGCTCTCATCTGTACCCTACCACCTCGGCCTTGCAATTATCCATCCCCTTGGTAACTAAACCCACATCTGAACGTAGGAAGAAATAACATCAGAGCCAGAAAATCTTTGGCTCGTACCCAGCAGGCAGCTCCTCTGCCAGGGCAGGATCTTTCCTTCATGTTCCTTTTTCCGTTGTTCGATTTTAATTTAGTTCTCAGCAGCTCATGCAGGAATCTCCCACCTTCCATTTGGTCACTGATATTTTCAGCCCATCCTCTTGTCCTCACGAGTTGCTGCATACTAAAGCCAGAGAGATTTAGCTCTTCTAATCTTTCCTGCTGAGTCAGTGCCTCTGGCTCCTGCACCCCCGTGTGTCTCTTACATTTATGTGCCATGTAGGCTCCTCTCTCTTGTTGAGGGGTTCCTGGAAAAAGGACACACAGAGCTGAATGTCCTTCAGGCATCTCACGGTCAGTGTGGGGGCTTGCTTCGGGCTTTAGGCAGCGCAGACCTGAGCGAGACACGGGGATCCTTCCACAGCTCCTTGCGGGCTGGGGTTTGGGATTTCAGTGTTCGTACCACTGTGCAAGACACAGGGGAGCTGCTGTCTATGATTTATACTATTTATGCATTTTAGTTCCACAGTATTTAGTGGTGATAAATTGTGTCATTTACTTGGGCTGTATGTTAAAAAGCATTTTTTAGCCTGTGGCTGAAATTTCATTGGGTATCCCTAATTCCTTTGTTGTTACAAACATGGAAAAATAATTTCCCATAAATTTATTAATGGCATGAAAAGAGAGAAATACGTCTGTCCCTCCTCTTGCTGTATTTGAAGGCCCCCTAGCCTCCCCTCACACAGCATTTTCACTGTCACTGAGCCAGAATAAGATCCAGGCTGGGGCAGTTCTCGGCAGAGCCCCACTTGGTTCTCCACGGATGACTAGTACTTGACTGCTGGTCAAGTCCTGCTTGTTCTGCGCCTGTATAATGTACACCCAAACCCAGCATTGTGCCATGGCAGGAAGAATGTCTTGGGATAAGTTTTACAAGAGTCTGCCTATTAAATCTTTACTGTTACTTTCTCAGCCAAGTTTGTAGTCTTGTCATAGAGGTGTGTGTGGTTTTTGAGAGATTTGATTTTCGTAACATTCAGCTGTTTGGCGTTGGGGCCATTTCTGCGTGTTCTTCAGTTGCTTTTCTGGAGCTGGAGCCAGGATGACGAGCTGATGGTTGCAGGCGTCATCCCGCGTCATCTCTTAGTCTAATGGCACAACGTAAATGCTATTTCAGGGTATCAGGACTCCAGAATTTTATAAATGCTTTCCAAGCACATCAGAGATCTGTTGGTTGTTAGGACTCTTGGGTACAAGTTATCCAGTCCTTTGGGCTTTTAGAATGGTTATTCCGGATTGATTCTATTAAATCGATTCTTCAGCTGCGTTGGAGCGTGATTCTTCACCTTCATGTGATGCACGTACATCACCACGCTTCTGTCCAAACACAGACAGCAGTGTTCATCACATGTTTGTGTTTTCCATGTCACTGGTGACAGTCCAGTCCCATTTAAAGTTTCAAGCGACATAAATGCAGGGGTTAGACACTTCCTTCAGATGTACAGCAAGTTATAACAGGACGCCTGTGCATGCAGGAACTTGCTGCCTTCTGGAGATAAAGCCCGTGAAGCCCCACTGCGTTGGGTGTGTCTGGAGGTACAGGTTGGTCTTTCGGCGGGTTCTGGGCTGCAGCAGCCCCACGCGCTGGCAGTCGAAGCCTTTGAGGGGCCAGTTTGCTGCTGTGCTGTGCCCCTGCCGAGGGCGAGCTGCAGCAGGCCGTAGGTGGCCATCGTGGGCCAGCGCTGGGTGCTGGTACCCCTGGGTACCCCTGGGTGCTGCAGCGCCAGCCTGCCTGCCCTGTGCCGCAGAGTCCTCCGGAGTGGGGCACGTTTACTCACTGCACGCTGCAAAATCTCACAGGTCAAGTGAATCTGTTAGAAGATAGCTATGTTAAAAAACTATGAAAAATAGGTTGAGGTGGAATCAGTCCTCGTTTGAGTATGTTCCTTGGAGATGTAAGGCAGGAACACTGGTGGGACTGAGGGGGATAGAGGAGAGGGGGGGATACAGCTGCTCCCTCGGGTCGTGCTTTGATGGTAAATGGGTTTCACCCTACCCCTCAGTGGGAGTTCAGGGACTCTGGGCTGACAACTCCAGGCTGAAGTGGCAGCTTTTTCAATTTTTCCACTTTTCTCCTTCCCCAGTAGCCCTTTTCTGCGGAGGGCACAGACACTTGTCTGGGAGGGATGAGGTGGGAGCTCTGGATACGTGTCCCACTGAAGGAAGGTTTGTCCCTTCTGCGGAGTGAGGAGCCACAACCAGCTGAGCAGCGTTGTTTCCGAGTGGGGAGTATCCCAGATGAGTTGTTAGGTCTGAGGTGAACAGTTGCTGGGCAGCGGGAGGATCCCTGGCTCTAGGGGAAAAAAGGCAAGAAGAGGAAAATACCCCAGAAGTCAGTGTCAGGAGTGATTGCAGGGGTGGGGCCGTGCTGCCCCAGCTCTCAGGGCGGCTCGTTGCTGCCTTCGCAGAGTGTCGGTCTGGACACCGTGGAAGTCAGGGCAGTTCAGGGGCAGCCTGAGGACAGATGCACTTTTGGGAAAAAGTAACTTAGTGGTTTAGTGTAAAAAGCAGTGTCTAGGCTGTAATGTGAAATGTAAGACTGAAAGGCCGTTACAGGCTACTGGATCCGGTTCCTTCTTTCTCAGGTTCATACTCATGTCAGTTATTCTTTTCATAGACTTCAAACAGACATTCAGCAGTTCAGTTTCTTACCACACTGTTTTTATGGGAGAAGTGACTTGCTTTGGGAGGATTGAAATCTTCTTTCCAGCCTAAATATATTTATGTCCAATTCAAGCCCATTTGCCGTTGTTCTAGCAGCGTCTCTGAGTTTAATTGGGTCTGGTTCCTCCTTGGTGTTTTGCTCTTTCATTGTAAGTTGATAGACGTAAGGTTCTTAACCCTCAGTCCAGTTGGCTTTTCTGGCAATTTTCCCCATATTTTCAGTCTGGTTTCGGTGAATTTGTGAAATCCCCGGGGTTTGTTGTTCATCTTACTGCGCAACTGAAAGTGACTTTCTGTAACCAGTGACACTGTATGTTCCTCCTTCACAGTCAAAGCCAGCAGTCTTGTCCTGCTGATCGGGCACTGGGCCGAGCCATCAGCTGTCTCACTTGGGAATACCTGGATCCTGTTAATAGAACACTCTCTAGGCCTTCTCTGGAGACGTGGTTTTCCATTGTCTTTAGAAGTTTTTGTGTTGAATATAGGTATAAGTCTTTAGAGCATTACTAAAAATCCAGCAAGACCAGAAAAAAACCCAACCGTGGTATTTGTAGTTAGATCCTAACAGAGTGTTTCACGCGGGAGGCGTCAGTCTAATCTGTGACTGGTCTTCACGTGTGCTATCAGTGATGTGTGATGCCGCATTTCTCTGTCTCACCGGGATAATCTTTGTCTTTCAGTACTTGGATTTTACTCGGTCTCTAGTTCTTGCACAGCAGATGCCGTGCTTACGGTCTGTCTAGCACCAGGGGTGCCCTTGTGAAGGTCCCACCAGCTTTCTGCTACGCTGTTGACTGGAATGGCAAGGAACCTCATTTTAGTTCTGTGTTTCCTGGGCTGGATTTTTGGTTTGGTTTTGTTTTGAACTCAGCAGAATGTGAAGCCCCACAGGCTGTCACTTCTGGCATTGTAGGAAGAGAAGAAGGATCTGCAGGGAGGGGTTAAGGAAAACAAGCCTCCTGCTGCTTTTGCTGCCCACCCAGGGCCTGGCCCAGGCCAGGCAGACCTGATGTTGAAGGTAGACACCTCTGCAGCAGCCGCTCTCTGTTCTGGACTTTGTTTCCAGAGAAGTGACATCTGGAGGACAGACCCTTGGGTTTCCTCCAGGAGTCTGTGTACATTTCTGTCACCTCACCAGCTCCTTGGTCCTTGGCCCTGACAGATCCCTGAGGGAGTCCTGCCTATCCCATTCCTTTCCCTGTATCCTGCCACATGCTCCCTGTCTTTCCTCTCGTGAGCGGGGCCACGTGAACAGTTTATGCTGGTGTCCTGAATAGAAGCAATTTCAGTTCAAGCTTGACTGAAAGTCTTGCTATTGGAAGTGGGCATAATTCGGTATGTAGAGGCGGGAGACAGGCAGGAGAAGAGGCTTCTGGATTGCACAGCTACGGTCCTGAGCCTGCCTGTGCAGAGGGAGAGGAGGTGGCTTCTCTGGAATTTGCACTGATTTCCATCAGTCGAACAGAGCCAAGTGCCTGCCCAGCGTATCCTGGGAGAGGTGCTGTTCTTGTGGCTGCAGCTACGCTGGGGTGACCCTGAGCCTCCCAGTAGCTGTGTGGAATTACGCCCCAGAGGGAGCCCTGTGGTGGAGCTCTGAGGCGAACACCGTCCCTGCTCTTTGTCCAGCCCCATCCCACCGCTGCTCAGTTTCCTCCGTGGTGGACATCTCGTTCCGATATGTTCATTACAGGCAAACTGATTCTTGGTCTTGAGATACGGCTCGGGACCCAACGGGGAGAAAGGATTTGTTTGTTTTAAGTGTGTTGTGACTGTGGTGCCTTTGAGGCATAGGTACCACTGCTGACACAGACACGTATGCTCTTGTGCTTACTCTTTAAGTAGCCATCCCTTGCTCTTCAGGGTGTTTGGGGCGTTCTGCCGGCCTGCACTGACCTGTAACCTCTGTCCGTTCTGCTTCCAGCTGACACTGACTATCGTGCGGCAGACGGGGGGGCTGGGCATCAGCATCGCAGGGGGCAAGGGCTCCACCCCCTATAAGGGTGACGACGAGGTAAGACCCGGGACTGGCTGGTCATCGCAGCACCCACCCTCAGGGCATAGTTCTCCGTAGCTGGAGGTTGGGTGTCCGCAGACGTCAGCCCGTGGCTGGGCTGGAGCAGGGCGGGAGCAGCCCCCGGGCACAACCTGCCCCCTCTGCCCTGGGCACAGGGAGCGGCTGGTTCCTCCCCGGCGGCTCCTGGGGTACAGGACTCTCAGAGTACGGGCTTGGCATTTACACCTCTGGTGCATCAGCTTCGTCATGTTCTCGTCCCGCTGGAAAAGGATTAAAGTGTCATTCCCTTTCCCCTTTTGTCACCTATGGGGTCGCCCTGCAATGGGGTTTCTTTCCCCTCCCTACCAGCTCCTGAGTGGGTGATGTGGCTGTCCCGCCCCACACCCAGGGCACGGGGTTGGTGGGGGGACTTCCCCTTCCCCCTCAGCTGGACGGGATGCAGTGGTCTCTCTGCATCTCAGAGGGCTGATGAATGGGCTCCACCTCTTCTAACAGGTAATTTTCTTTCCAGGGCATCTTTATTTCCCGCGTGTCAGAAGAGGGTCCTGCAGCTCGTGCAGGGGTTCGTGTTGGGGACAAGCTTCTGGAGGTAAGAACCAGCTCCTGTGAAATGTAAATGCTGCTAGGG